ATGATAGTAATATCACGATGTTAAACTGACAATGTCATCTTTACAATAATTGTTACATAATAATACGTATGAAAAAATATCTTGTTGCGTTTTTCTTTTCTGACACCAGTTGTTACGTTATTTTCTTCCTTCGTACGGGGTTCGTGAGGACTTGGAGTGAATAATGACAATACTACTTGATGAAGTATCGAAGCACACTTTATTGGTCAGTATTGTCAGGATAGATCCAAAACTCGTTTTTACAGTCGTCGATGAACTACTATAAACACGCTGACACGATCAGCGACACAGCCTCCAGGTTATCAGGCTATCACGGGGGAGACAGCTTCACGGCAAAGCACCAGAGTACAACTCCCGACTCTGCTTGGTCTTTCTTGGAACTCCACGTACTCTCGAGACTCTCCACACTACAACTCGCGATGCACTCGACGACACACAGACCACAGCTCCTGACTCTTCGGTTCAGTCGTTCTCGGAGCTCAACACGCTCTCTTGACGATGCACTAACCGCGATACTCTAAGAGACTCTTTCGGTGCACTCGACTACCCACTCGGCACTCGCTGCCCGGCTGTCAACTCGATCGACTCCGCAGGGATTGATTCGCTAGACGAGACACCAACTTAATACTAACTAGACGAGGCACACTCACTCGCCCTCTCTATGAAGCACACACTTTGACTGTGGACCAGGAGGGTTTATATAGCTTTCGTCTTGGGTTCGAGAACATTCTGGGCTAACCGGTAAGAATTCGTTCCAGAAGGTTCTCCATGCGTCCATGTTATATCGCCAATTTTGACGCCAAATGTCGCCAAATGGGCGATTTTTCGCCATATGTGGCAACCCTGAACATTTTTTTGCGGGGAAGTTATCTCACTGCGTCTGTACATTTCGTAACACTATATATGCAATCAATTAATCATTACATTGTTTATGGATAGGATCTATGCTGTGGAGAGTAGAACTTATATATTAACCAGTCTCTAAACCTATGTCTACTTCAGTACGTCATAACATCGTGTTCTTATCATTTAGACACCTAATAATGTGCGTCCGTACTATTGTTGCAGTTATTCACAGAATAGGCCAGTCACATCAGTTCAGGCAGTTAATAGTTCCATAGCCCAAAGTTTATCATGTTGTTGTGTAGACTATTCTATGTTCATATAAGCTGGATTCCAAAGTTAACTCTTGATAAATTCGAAGTACACTTTTGTTAAGCTCATTGTTCACGTAAACAACTTGTCTACTTCGATACATCATAACTTCATGTCCATAGCAGTTTGCACACCTCATTATGTGTGTCCATAGCACTTTGCACACTTGTCGCAGTTATTCACAAAGCAATCAAGAAATTGCAGTTGGGAAGTTCATAGTAATATGTACCTGATTGTCGTAGCGATGGGCCTGGTTTCGAATCCCGGAGAAGGCATGGTTGTAACTATCCATCCCTTCATAGGAGGCAACGTTGGTCGCCTATTAGTTGCTTCCATAATAAAATGGCCACCGCTTTTGGCCCTTGTAGTAGCGCAAGGCTAATGGCTATTGATAAAGCGCCTTTAGAAAAATTAATGTAATAATTCTTGTTGATTTTAGTCTCTGTTTAGAAGGTATGTAGTTACTTGAAAAAGCTAAAAATTTTTGTGCAGAATATTCAAGAAATCCGAGTACTTTTTCTGGTTTTCAAGATTTTTTTCTCTGATTGCAAATTTTGACTGATTTTAATAGCAGTAAATTGAAAAAGAAAGAAAATATAGTAATGTTACAATAACTAAACATTTTCATTTCCGTGAAGAATAATGCAGCAATCTGAAAAAATGTTATGAGGTATTTTTCTGTATTTTTAACTTATATGCACGCTCTGGAAAGAATAAAATAAATGGGATTGACCAGCTTACATTGCGGAAAAACTGCAATTGGAAATGCAAACATTATCTAAAAATAAGCTGAATTTTCCAGAATTTTGCATATATATAATAATTCTGATTTTCCTAACAGCAAATAAAAGGACCAACATCAAAGATCAAATTTAGATTGGAATTATTTACAAAGATCAAATTTAGATTGGAATTATTTACAAAGATTAAATTTAGATTGGAATTATTTACAAAGATCAAATTTAGATTGGAATTATTTAATTGCTTAATACTTTTGATGAGAACTGGATATCAGATACGTTTTTATTACTCAACGGAAATTATACATACATCGAGCATTGACATCCGAGATGCATCATCAACTTGGTGTATAGCTAAAATATTTGTCTTTTGTACTTTCCTGTAAGCCATTCTGTTCTTAAACTAACACCGCCAGGATAGGGAGTCTAGAATTACTTGCCTTTATTTCCGAATTTTGAAGATTGACGTTGCGTTTGAAATTCTTCAAAAAACTGAGTTAGAGCTTGTTAACAGATACGATTTCTATTCCAAAAATAAAATTACTGTTTGTTATATCGCGAGATGCAATAAGGGATAGAAGAGCCGTGATTTGGTTATGACTTTTATACAAAAGAAAGTTTGAAATTACAGCTAGATCTTCAATTATGTTTCTTCTTTTGGTGGTAAAATTTTGCATATTCGTAACTTCATTTACTATGGTGCTTGGATGCGTGCATCTCCAATATCTTACATAATAATAAAAAAATATTACATAATAGCTTTGCCTAATATTTTCATGTAAATAATAATATAAACACAGTCCTTGACATGGCCATAATTTAACCTCCGTCAACTTCATCAGTAACCCTCGAGGTCGAAGTGACGTCACTATGCAAGGTCACGACGCCGGTTCGTGGCGGGAAAAAAGAAAACCGCAGTATGAGAAAAGTGACAGCTGAGAAGACCACTTTCTTAATCATTCTTCATTAACCGTCGCCACTTCATCTGGCAGCCCCTTCATTCATTGCACACCAGTTTCTCCGCGCTGTGTGCTCTGGAAAGGACAAGATGCTATGCTCTTATTTTGGCAGCATTCATTTGTTTGTAATACGGATGAGCTTCGTGATTGAAAGCCCAGTGAATAGTTTTTTTTGCGTGAAGAAGTGGAATGCATTGTTTACCAAGCTTATTTGTTTGTATCATGTGCCATTGTAAAATAGCGTAGATCATTGTCGAATATACTTTTTGAAGCATCATCTAATTGGTATTTGTTCAGTCAATGAACCATTATTGGCAAGGTTTTAGAAGCTGAGAAAAATAATCATCTTGGTCATCTATTGGTCTAACAAAGATAAAGGACTGTGGGTGATAGTTTTGTTTCCTTGTTGTGATTCTAGTTAATCATATGTAGTTATTTGTTTTCATATGCAATTTAGCGTGCTTTTTTGTGTTAAAGGATGATATTAGAAAGACTATATGAAATCGGAAAATAACATGTATAGTTCTGGATTAAATCCTAAAATTCCTTGGAGATTTTGAGCCCATTCAGTTAGATTTTTCATTATTTGAGAAAGGTTCATACTGTTAACTTATCAGATGTTAGCGCTGTTAAAAAGTTGCGAATGCGTTTTAAAGTAGGGATTCAGTATAGCCTTCGTGTTGTTCTTATAATCACAGATTACTTCCGTTGAAATGTATTATGACCTCGACGTACATTCACCAAATCGTACTGTTTTGCTTTAGTTTTATCAGCTTCACTGCAATCTCTATATTCCGTTGCATCAGCAAGCATGTATGTTTACTTAGGTAATTAACAACTGAAATTTTGCATGTGATTCTTCGTTGTAAACTGCATTTATTTTGTGTTGTGCATGCTGAATGCTATCTTTGAATTTATTTTTGCAAGCGCGTTTTGCATTTTTAGTAATAATATTCCTAACTAGAAATGTTTACCCATTTGTTAAAACAAATAAATATTTTTAGGCAGTTAAACTGCATGAAGCCTTTACGTGTTTAATGAGAAATACGAAAAACTGTGATTAATTTCTCCGAAAGGATATAAATTATCGATTTTAAGTCTCCGCAGGAAATTTTTCCGTTGCTTACTAATGATATTTCCAATGATAAATGTTATGCTGAAAGCAGATAAAAAAATTCCTTCAGCGGAGAATTTCTTGATAGTGGCAGTTCTAAACTTTTACTACATGCAACCTCAAATTTTGAAATTGCTGTCTAACGCATATTTTGTTTTTATCTCCAGCGACCCTTAAATTATTCCTTGGAGAAGAAGCGAAGAATATCTCAGTAGGCAGGGCGGAATAAAATATACATTTTCCCTTGCTTTTACTAGAAGCTTTCCGGCTGTTCTTCGATCACGAGCAGTGAATAATGCATTCCGGGTAAAGGAATTGAAATTCGGAGGGCCAACAAGAAAAATAGGCATCGGAAAAGAAATAGAAAGAGCTTTGCATTTTCCAGCGTGTTGTACAACTAAAAAAATACTCTTATTCTGCTGGTATAGAGCTACTCCTTCTTCATAGAAATCAAGAATTTACCAACTTCAGTGATTTTTTACTCATTGGAATCTAAGATATTCAACTCTTGTGCCCGAGGGCAGAATCTATTCCTCAAAGAATTTATACCCTTTACGTTGAACCTGCTAAGAATTATTTCAGTTAAACCTGTACCCCGCTATAAAAGTGGATTACAATAAAACTAGACTTGGAATTGGTTTATTGAAGCTATTTGCAAGGGATTACAATTAAACTAGACCTGTAATTGGTTTATTGAGGCTATTCGCAATAGATTACAATTAAACTAGACCTGGAATTGGTTTATTGAAGCTATTCCGCAAGGGATTACAATTAAACTAGACCCGGAATTGGTTTATTGAAGCTATTTGCAAGGGATTACAATTAAACTAGACCTGGAATTGGTTTATTGAAGCTATTCGCAATAGATTACAATTAAACTAGACCCAGAATTGGTTTATTGAAGCTGTTCGCAATCTGAAATATCTGAAAGCTAGATTTTAATCTGCACGCAATACAAAATGTTTGTAACATTCATCTAACTAAGCCAAAGATATATAAGCGTGCAGTATAATGAAAAACAGCTAAAAATTTGAAAATTGTGTGCGCATTTAGTTAAAGCATCTGTATGCGTTTGAAGGAACATCAGAGAAATAGCCAAATATCTTGTTATTATTAGCTGAAGCTGTAGTATTAGCTTATTTTTATAATTCGTTTGTTATTAAAACTAAGACAAACTAACTTCTAACAAATATGATTTGTTAAAACTAATATCAATTAAACTTATTCACTGTTTTCAGTAATGGAATTAAGAATCGTTGTGGAATCTTACTAGTGTCAAACATTTATTGTGCTTAGAGATGACTGATAAAGAAATTACACGGTAAACAGAATTTAATGTGGACTAATCCAAAGGTGCTCTGCTTTGTATGATTTAAGTGGTAGTTAGGTATAAACTTACAAAGAATCCAGTAGCTATAGTGATAAACTAAGTTATCAGATCTTAAAGATCTTAAAGATTCATCCAAAGATCTTGAAGATCTTAAAGATTCCCAAATTGATTGTAAATTAACTTATTGCATTTTAATTAACAATTGACATATAACCTGGCACAATGAATCATTTCGGTAAGATGCATTGTTATGCTTTGGGATTTCTATTGATTACGAGGATACATGTGGCACTGAGCACAGATCCAGCATCTCCTTCGACCACCATTATGGTAGATGAAGAACCACTTTACTGTCCTAGTCCTGACTGCGATAGTGAGGAATGTCAACATCTGAACAGATCGGGTTTGTGCAAAGAAGTTGAAGAAGGAAATATTGAATTAACTCGACAGAATTGCGGATGCTGCTTTCTATGTTCGGGTAAAAATGGTGAGTACTATAATCTTCGGTACTTCTCTTCGATGCACATAGAGCTCAAATTTCATGGTTGCTACTCCCATCTCCAAACAAATTGTATAGAACACTCTGCTCTATGAATAAGTGATTTAATCTGTACATTTTAAACATAATATTTAACAATACGATTTAATCCAGAGCAGTGCCTTGAAAATTTGTAATTTTTATGGCTTTGAGCTAAAAGTGTTGTTACTTTTTAAAAATCTTATTCTTATTTCGTTAAATAATACAGCAGGCAGCAAAACGCTAATTTGTTATCAGGTAGAGAATACGAGTCAGCAATTCAAATGTTCATTGTGTTGCTGATTGCAGGTGCGAAAGTTAAAGTAATTACAATTTTCTAATTATAACTAATATATGCCTATAAAAGCAAAACAATCTAAATTTAAAATTTTATTATACCTTAGTAGCTGATTTTCTTTACAAGTATCAAATGTATAAGAAAACGTAATTATGAAAATGAAAACTTGCATTTTCAGTTGATTACTGCATTTCAAATGAATTTATGCGTATGTATTTATAAATTACAAACTAAAAATAATTTTGAAAAGAATCTACTTTTTCTGCAACTCCTATGACAGTAGAATTTAAAACTGATTTACGAAATTTTTGCCTTGCTTGTTTATTTTTCTATAATTGAAATATCTGTGCTGAATTTTTATTTTAATTGAAGAAAACATAGAAAGTAAATTAAATTTGAAATTTTAATATACTTCCTACGATCTGCTTTGGGTCCGAAGCTCACAAATATTTAAAACATTTACGAAACAAAAGTATTTTCTGAACAAGTATTAATTAGTGAAGCAAAGACCTGTTTTCAAGTACAGATAGATTTTTTTTTTTTTTTAAAAAACAAGGATCTATGTGATCTAAACTTAATCTTCTTGCAGTTGTTCTAAGGAACTAAGGCAAGAGTTTCAAGCGCTGTATGCATATTGCATTTCTGTGTTTTATATTAATAAGATGCACATTTTATTCATCTCCTTATGTTAGGGAGTCGCTGAATTTCGGATCTCTTTTCATTTACGCACCTTAAACACGAAAGGATTTTGAGAGGCATAATAGTATTTTATCTTTATACTGATTTATATAGTATACTTACTATAAAAGTAATATCATCTGAAATTTAAACTAAAATAAAATCTTACTTTATTCATGTTTACAATGAGGAGTAAATGTTTTCAAGTAATGATATGAATTAAAGTAAAACAAGATTTCAACAAATATTATTTCAAGAAGCTAAAAAAAATTAATTCAAATATTTAATGAATTCTTAATATATATGCTTTCCATTTGGTTAATGTTACGTATGTTAAGTGTGCCCCGTTCACTGAGAGCCTGAGGTTATTTGATTATGGCTAAACACGGGAGGGCTATCTGCTTAAGGAAGGAATGCCTTCATGGAAGACTTTCTAAGGAAACTGGTTCGTATTTATTAATTGAGATTATAAGGCATTTCTCCCGCCTTCTTAGTATGCCTTCGTGGTGTAATGGTCAGCAAGCTCGGCGTGTATACGAGAGGTCCGAGGTTGAGTCCCGGCTAGGGCATTGCTCATTTTTCATCTCTCCTGCTTTCAAAAAATAACAAATGTCTCTACAATGGCGCTCGAACTAAACAAAAAGGTTGTGGATGATGATTCTCCATGACCAGGATTTGGCGATTGGGTCCCCTTATCTCCAGTCGCCCTTTGAAAGGGGGAGCATATAAGTTATTTCTCCCGCCTTCTTAGCATGCCTTCGAGAGGTCCAGTCCCGGCGAGAGCATTGCTAATTTTTTATGTTTCCTGCTTCGAAATAACCTAATGACTCTACAAGATGATAAAATGTTCAAAGAAGAACTACCGGCAACATTCATAGATAGAATCGAGAAGTCATAGATTCAGTAACTATACAAAAATATTTATTAGGGTGTCCACTTGTTAGTTGAAGTGTAATGACCACCGTACTTCATGGACATATTTTTGTTGCTGTTTGCAGTAAGCCAATATTCTTCTTCCTTGTTTAAAAGACGCCCGACATGCGCCTTGCGTTATATTAGAATAGAGACTATAAAATGTTATATCATGAACTGGAAACACGAAAGAACTGAGTGGATATTAGTTTAGACAACTTAGTGTGAATATAGCACGTGGACCACGAGATCGTATGTTTGTTTTCCGCTGAAAGCAAAACTTTAAGAGTTATATTCATGTCTTTCGTTGTAATTTATTTTCTCCCTCCTGTCTACATGCTTTCCTGGTGTAACGGTAGCACACTTGGCGTGTATTCGAGAGATCAAGGTTCGAGTCCCGGCAAAGGCATTACACGTTTTTTACGTCTCTTGCTTCAAAATAATCTAATAACTCTACAGCGGCGCCCGAACTAAAAAGTGGCGGATGATGATTCTTCACCACCATGATTTGGCGATTGGACATCCTAATCTCCAGTCGCTCTTTAAAAGGGGAAGTATATAAGGTATTGTCTCTCTCCTTTCTGCATGACTTCATCGTGTTACGGTAGCACAATCGGCGAGTGTTCGAAAGGTCCAGGTTTGAGTCCCGGCGAGGGCATGGCATGTTTTTCACGTCTCCGGTTTCAAAATAAACTAATGAGTCTAACGTCAGCAGAAGTTCTAACCGAGCATTTTAGGCAAGTTATCATTCAAGTTCTCTCCTAAATGTTACACTTTAATTTTATTAAAAATGAGTTTCTTTCTTCATTTTTAATGAAGCTTATCTTCCGTTATTTATAATATGCTTTTTTGTTTGGAATACTGAATTAAGTTACGTACACATAAGAGCTTTTCCTGTAGATTAAACGCCGTAGAAATAAAATGTTAATGAGGTAGTTATGTTAATTATAATGAGATTTATTCCTATTTCCTATGGTCTTTAAATGCCTTCGTTTTAAATGTGATTTTGAATTAAACATGGAGTGGCCCCTAGTATTGCCCCAGTTAATAGAGATTTGACTGTTATTTTAACATAATATCTCTCTAAATGTTTGTGTGCATGCATTATGAAATTGCATTACGATCTGATTAGTTTATAGACATCATACATATTTCTAGATTAACGCAGTTTAAACGTTATGTTGCAGCATATTAGCACCTTAGTGTCGCCGATTGAAACGCGAAAGGCGAAGCGAATTCCCGTGAATGTTATTCACACCATTTGCGGGAGACATTGGAGTTGTTACTTATCCCTTAATGAGTGCACTGAGTCACAGTTCATTAAGCTCCAGCACAATTTAGCATCCTCGACAAGCTGTTCTGGCGACCGGTAGTTTCCAACGCTTTTGGTTTTTCTGTTATTTTGTCATCAAGATAGCGTAATTTATATTTCTCTTTATGTAACTCTTTATCCAGTAAATACTTCAGAAAAAAAAGAGTAGCCATTAACTCATCTAGCTAGAGAACAAGGTCGAAAAGGCTATATCATGGGCGCGAAAAAGGGCATAAACCCTTCGTGTCACTACATTTTTATGTTAGCTGCTGCGAAAGTGATATATCAGTAATCCTCGCCCATAAATTGTTCTAGATTTTCGTGACAGCAATTTATTGCATTTATATAGTACGTTTAGATCTCGTATATTTCTTTTGCCACTGTGTGTACATGGGTAGCTTCATCATTTTTGTGGGCAAAGTTATGTTTTTGATAGTACTTAAATAATTTTATTGCATTCAGCGTTAAAAAACTTTCCTTCTGTTTTATTGTAGCTGGTAACATTTAAAGTAATTTAGAGATACACTTAATGCACATAAAAATAATTTTGCTTGCTAGAATGGGAAAAATTCTACCGATGATATATATTATAAAATGCGACGTGGAAATTTTCAGATGGAAGTGCGACTTGAATTATAACCACTGTGCCTAAAACATTCCAGCAATCTAGATTCAGATTTAACTCTGAAAAAAAAAAAAAAAAAAAAAAAAAAAAAAAAAAAAAAAGATAATCTGAAAGGTTTTAGATTTTAAATAACGTCTAAAGACGCGTTTTTTTTTAAACAATTTGTGTGTTACCTTTTTTTGTTAAATATCATGTTCTCCGCACTTAAACCCTAAAATTCAGTTTAAGAGCAATATCACAAAATAATTTTAAATTCAGCCTATCTTTAGAATTTCTGATACAAGTCTCGCGCCCTGGAGATAAAAATGTTTTTGTTTTTCTGTACAACGTTTGCCACTGCTCGCTTGGAAATACTTGAGTTTGTTAATCAAAATTTCGTTAAGGTTTTGCAAAATAGGAAATCGATAATGAAACAAATTCCAAATTTCAAATTTAGTCTTCCACATGCCCATATTCCCAGTAGGATTACCTCATTCAAGATTGAATGTTTCTATGTACCGTTGTTTTATCACAATGCGAGAAACATGCATACATTTATGCAGATTCGTCATTATTTAATTTCTTCAAATATAATACAGGGCGATAGTATTTGGTGGCAACAGTTTAAAAAGTGAAACGGACATTCAGAGAGATTCGACGCAAAATCTCAAAACAATAGTCTGTTTGGACTAATAATAAATAAACTTTGTGCATTATTTTCTGTTTAATGTAAATGAAGTATAAGCGACATTTATCAAGTTTACAGAAGACTTTGACAGACGAGATGCGTTGTAGTTATCACGTATTATAGACCTAATTGATTAAATCATAACTAGATTTCAATCCGCTGTGAATTCCTTGTGTAACCCCAACAAATGCACAATAAATTTGAAAATAATGTTTGGGGGTATATCTGAATTTCAAATTTTATGGATAAACTAGATATACGAAATGCCAGTTTTTGAGCTTTATGCAGTCGAAGATGCTCTTAAATAATATATATGTGTTCTTTATTGATTTCTTATGCAGAATGTCCGAAAAACGTAGATAGATACTAATGTTATTTCCTCAAATATTGATTTAGAAATATATACCCAGTTATAAAATTTCTAAAAATGAGATTGGAATTGCATAACCCTCAGAGCAAAAATTTTAGCTCGTATTTT